CCCGCCCGCCTGCCTGCCGGGAGGGCCGCCGCCGGCTCGCAGGGGGAGGGGACCGGACCGGCCGCGGGGGTTCCCGCGCGGCGGGGAAGGGGCGATGGGGTCGGGAGGGCCGCGCGGGGTAGGCTGGGTTCGGCCGGTCACTGCTGCACGGGCGTCTCGGGGCGCCTCAGCATCTGCAGCCTTCTGCCCATCCTCTCCGCGTCGGGGCCCCGCAGTCCTCGCTCGGGTGAAGCAAAAGCAGCGGCGGCGGCGGCCTGGCCGCTGGGCTGGCAAGGTGACGAAACGGCCGGTCGGCACAACTTGGTCAAGACGGAAGCGAAGGTGCCGGAGCCCCAGGAGCGCAGCCGGGAGCCGTTTGGCGCGGCGCTGCGGCGGGCGCTGCGGCGGGGGCCCCGCTCGCACTTGAGCGCCTCGCCCTCGCTGCCTCGCGCCGGGGAAGCGCCACCAGCGGCGGCGACGGACGAGCAGGTCGTCCCCGCCGCGGACCGGCGGGCGGCGGCGCGAGTGAGCGCGGTGCCGGGAAGCGCCGCCGCGCGGGCCCGCTCACAGGCGGAGCCGAGCCCTCGGCCGCGGGCCCTGCAGTCCTCTCGGCGCGTCACGCGACAAAGTTGTCTCCAGGCTCCCGCGGCGCCGCATCCACTGTAGAACGGGCCGCGGCGCGCTTCCCCCGGCCTCCGCACCGCCTCGCTCGCTCCCTCCGCCTGCGTGCCTGCCCGGGCTGGCGGGACGCGGAGCCCTCCTCGTCCCTGTCTTCTGCCTGGCTCGGCGGCGGCGAGGTCCACTCGAGCCCCCAAAAGTCTCTGGCTCCCGCGGGATTGGTGCCCTCGCTGGCGCTCACACTGGCACAAGCCGCAAGGCCGAGGGAGAGCGGGCGGGTGGCGGTGGCGTCTCTGCGCCCCGCCGCGCGCGGAGAGCAGAGCACGCCGAGAAGGAGTTCTTCGCTTTGCCCTCTCTTTTACACTCCGGGTTTTTTATCCCGAGGGGTAAAAAAGCCGCACAGTCTCCATATGTGCGCGCGCGTGGAGATAGACGTCGGCAGAAAGGGGGCGGAGGAGTGTCGTCCTGGCCGTGCGGGAGGAGACGGTCCGCGCCTCCCCACTCGGGCTTCCCCGGGGCGGAGGGGAAGGCGGAATCTGTTCAGGTCGGTGCTGCCCGCTCCCCCGCCCACCTCTGCTCTCCTCTGCTTTTTGCTTTCTGCCTTCTCCAGTAGGGGCGAGTCTGTCCTGTGCGTCCCCCACCCACCCACCCACCCCGCAATGCCAGGCCACTTTTGCTGCCTCGAAACTTTCCCACCACGTGGGTGCCCAGACCCTCGCCCGGCTGTGCAGCGGGCCACACCGACAGACTCCAGACGCGGGATTGGGCGCTCGCCCTCGCCGCCGTCCCTCCCCATCCCCGACCAGGTAGTGACTCCTGCCTTGGCGGCCGCCCCCAGCCTTCCCGGGGTGCTCTATTTCGGGCGGACCTGGGGAGGCAAGGGCGGCCAGCAGTGCCCTCGCCGAGTGCCCAGGGCTGCCGTCGAACTGGGCGAGGCGTGGGTCTCCCGGGCTGGAGGGCAGGGAAGACAGTGGCCTCCTGGTCAGGTGCTACCTCCACAAGATTGTTGGAGGATCCAGCCTCAAGCATCGAAGCCTCTGAGAACCAGGGATAGTCCTGCAGAAGGGGTCTTCCGCACCTCAGACCCCACCTTGAGAAATCTTGTCCTCAGTCAAACCCAGGTTTCAGTCAGGGCTCAGACACTGCCTGCTTTGTTGGAGTGCTCTCTCGAATAGAGTCCTCACTTTCTCTTGTCTCTGCTTCCTCCGCTATAAAGGGGCTCGGTGACACCTATGTCAGACTGGCTGGAGCTCCAAACGAAGTGACTGGGCAAGCTCCTCACAGAACCCAAGAAAGAATGGTTCCAGACTCCGTGCTCCGGCCACTAGACAAGAAACGCTGTCAATGGAAATCTGA